GTGTATTCTAGTGGGTAACAGGCATGTTATGTTTCCTTCACAGGGTAAAGTGAAATAAAGCTTAGCTGTTGGCTTTCCAACATGGTATGGAATTGTCACACTGGAAAAGCACAGAGACAAAATCTAAATATTTTACCTCGAAACACAACATGAAATTCATGCATCGGCTGATAGCCTGCATGCTCAGTGATGAATCACAAGCAAGAGAATAAGATGATGCAGGGCTATCAGGCAGAGCTGAAAAGTGGTGGGATTCACTTCAGAGAATCAGCAGGAAACTTGTGATTAACAGGGATGAACACAACAGTGAGGACCTTGTGCAGAAAGAGAGGCCTACTGGAAGGGCCCGTGGCAAATCACAGTGCATCTCTATGGTCCTATTCTCTTAATGTCTTCCACTTTAACTCTGGGTATGCTGTTCCACCTCCAAGTATACACTTCATAATGCTTTATAAAAACTAACTCATTTGGACTTGGGGAGCAATTCAGCTTGTGCTTCATAATCTGTGCTTTGTATTATGAACCAGGGACTGTAGTGATAGGACAAGGGGTAATGGGTTAAAACTTAAACAGGGGAAGTTTAGATTGGATATAACGAAGAGGTTCTTTACTGTTAGGGTGGTGAGGCACTGGAATGGGTTGCCCAGGGAGGTTGTGAATGCTCCATCCCTGGCGGTGTTCAAGGCCAGGTTTACTACCTAGTTTACACATAAACATGGTTTAGGGTGAGGTGTCCCTGCCCGTGGCAGGGGGGTTGGAACTGGATGGTCTTAAGGTCCCTTCCAACCCTAACTATTCGATGATTCTATGAATTTACACTGTGCATAGACCTACAGGAACCCAGTCCCTTTTGGGCTTTTGGATGCAGCTGTAATCAACTGATGTTATAGCTGACAAAGTAGAGCATAGATTTTGGGCTTTGCAGGTCACTCTTATTGACATATGTCATTTACGTATTGTATGCATCACAGAACAACAAAGCTTTTCATATATTCTTTTTCTGTGTTTGAGCCAATGGCAAAACCTGGGAGGTATGGTGTTGAAAATTCACCATGCCTCAAATAAATTTAACTTGCACATAATTACTGCTAAAGTTTTCACTTGTAGCTGTTCCTTCTAAGCAAAACAGATGCTCAAAAATCCTTTCCATAATAAGAATTAAAAAAAAGAAAAAAATCATGGATACATCAACATGTTCTTCTGTGTTCAAAAGGGGAAATCTCCAAGCTCTTGATCCTTGTTTTGCCTAGATTACTTTAAATCTCAAAACAACCATTACTGCATTGAATACTTCTGTTGTATGCTCTGACTTTTGCTGGAACAATGGTGCAAGCAGTTAACAAATGTGTTATGTATGTTATCCTATGGCCATACTTTCTTCTGAGGCTGGAAGAAAGTAACAATGAAATAACACATTAAAATAACCTCGAAACATAGTATCGATTGTCTCATTTAATGTTTTCCCAACTCTTTCTGCCTCTGGAAGTTGCAGATAGTTTATCCTTACAAAAGACAGGAGGCAAACCAACAACTATTTGGAAATGATACATTAAAAGGGTGCTTGAAAGAAGAAACTGTCAGAGCTGTTATGATATTTGCAAACCAAATCTGAAGCATCATTATAGACCTCTGTTTTGGCACATAAGGATTGTTTTAATTCAGCTTTCCAATCTCTTCCTGCAATCTTTAAGTAGTTATTCATCTATAGGGATTCGGGGTTTATTTTGAAGCACTAGGGAAGGGAAACAGAAGCTAGGAATCTCCTAATACACTGGAAATTGATGGTGCTGATTTTCATAAGTAACAAAGGTAGAAGGTGTTGTCTGCATTCATGTAGTGCATAACTCTGCTCCATTTAAGCTTTTTGACTTGTTAGGCTGATTAGGTGTTAGATGTGGTTTGCAGTGACTAGAATGAGACTTACACTTGTTACAGTGTCATATTTGAGTAGTAATTTATAAAACTGAGAATACTCACTTTGAAATCAAGCGAAACACCTTTTTTCTGGGGGCATTACTGGTAATGTTCACTGATGCTTTCCTCCACTTGCCTCCCTTTCCTCCTTTAAAACAAACTAAATTAATAAAATACTGCAAAAAGATTATTTCCCAGCCAGATGCATTTGCTGATCCAGTCTGCTGCAGAGGGAAGTGTATTAGCCCAGCAGGAAAGAAAAAGCATGAGAGGATGCTTCAGCTGGGTTCAAGTTACCTGCGCAGCCAATCTCCCAAACGTATGAAACTACAACTCTAGCACCTTTTTGCATGAGGTAGCATAAGAAAGGGTACCATCAAATGAATGGCTCCTTCTGTCAGGAGAAGTAGGACAAAAATTGGATGCTTATACCAAGAAGTGCTAAACAGTTTCAGCATTTAATGATTCACTGACAAATACCTGCATTCCATGCTGCCTCAGCCCTGCTGTTGTTATTTGCAGGTTTAAGTTTGAATTTAGCATTTATTTCATTGCAGAATGAATACAGACATTGATATTTGCCACAAAACAGAATTTCAGTTCCAGTTGTAGTAGGTGAGTCTCTAAAACATGGCTAGGTAGGACCCCCATTGACTGGAGATTTAGTACTTTGGCTTTATCTTGCTTACTCGGACAATTGATATCATTTTAAACATGTGGATAAAGAGGCATGGACACAACTGACATTGCTGTAGCCAACATGAAGTGAAGGAATCTTGAAACTGACTCGAATCAAGCAAAGATGCTGTTCACATAAATAATAATAGCCAGAATTACTGTATGGTTTAAACTATATCCAGAAGTGTAGGAAAGCCTGTGCCTCAGTGAACTCAGTAACACATATGAACCAACTTTTCTCACGTGTCCTCCAGTCATTAATTCCCAGCTGTTGATGGTGGGAACTTGGGGAGTGAAGTGAAAAATCCTCTCTCCATTCCTACCCACCTTAACTGGAAGTACTTAAACCTGTTAATTCAGAGGATGCTACAGCATTTGCTCTGCCGTTTATGCCCAGGAGGAAAATGCTTTCTTAAGGATGGATGACGGATGACATTCTTTATTCCCTGGTTTCAGAGAGACTTTTCATTTATTTACAAAGCTTTCCTTCGAAACACAAATGCATCTAGAGTTAGATAGGTGCTTTTTTTAAGTGTGTGCTAAAGAGGCAAACGTTTGATAAAACTGCTCCAGCCTGGGTTTACTGTCCATTTTGATCTCCCATTTCCTTCCTCCCACTAGTATCCCTGCTCTATGCGTGCTACCTTTTCTCCCTGTTTCCCCCCCTCACTCTTCTCCCTTGCTGCCTCACTAACCTCTCCTAAAATCTCCTTTACTTCACAGGTACCCAATAACTTCAGTTTAACTTTATTCAGAAAAGTCCCAGCTTGTATTTGTCTCAGATTTGTCTTGGCTCTCTTGCATCATATTTGCCTTTGAACCTGTTGTGTCTACTGAAGACCTAATTTTCCAAACTATGTCTCTTGGCCTTAGAAAGATTTTTCCTTCTATCTTCAAATCTACAGAGGTACTGAATTTATCCACAGGAATTTGTGTCTTATGCAAATGCTCTCCTTTCTCGGGATGATAGCATCAAGGTTAGAAACATATTTAAAATGTAATTATAAGAATCAAGTCTCACACATGGTGATCAAGCCTTTCAGCTTGCTGGGCCACAGGTAAGATGTGATATATGACAAACATTAAAAGTGGAGATGGCACACAGTTCATTCAGGAGAATTTAAACACTGTAGGATGATGTATACTTAAGTGAATGTTTTCTAGAACCATTGTCATGATTTATTAACTTAGTGGTTTCTAGAATAACAAATGAAAAGACACTTTTCCATAGAAAGCCATCTTTACTTCTCTAGATGGGTGACTAGCTGACAAACTGAATAAGCCAGAGGTCTGCTGTCACTACAGGTATGGGTATACCTGAACTTTTGTTTTAGTGAACGTTAAAAAAAAAACCTAAAAAACCCTCTCAATATTCTCTTAGGGTGCTTTATGCCACATTACTTACTTCACTCCTGTTTCATTTTCCTGAACTAACAGAAAGCTCTTTGGTGAAGTTCTGAAACAGTGCTTCATTATATGTTCTCATCGTCTCTGTAGATAGCTGTTCTTAATTTGGCTAAAACTGAATTTCAGTATGTGTGGAGTACTAACATTAATAGAAGAAAAACGATCTGGTTTGGAGTTCAGTTTTTTTAGTGTGTTAATTTCTAGACTGGCTTAAATGAGACTTCTTAGAATAAGGAAAAAAAGTCTGAAGCAATAGTGCTTTGGGTAGTTTTACTTGGTCTGAAATCGTTGGTTCACCCTGCTTCCTAGGCTTTGTACAATTTGACCTTGAGCGAAAGAGCTTTCGTTCTTGATAGAAGCTAATTGTATGTGTGGAGTTCAAATCGTAGTGTTAAAATGAAATCAGTACTGCACAGGAGCAGGTAATACAAGGAAAATCATACTCTTAATGGGCTACAAACCTTCTGAGTGAAGCACTGTTTTCAAACCAGTGAGATAGACGTAAAGTCATCTTTACCATCTGCAAACCAAGCATACCCCTGGAAGTTATAATTTATACCTTAAATAAGGTCTGTAGAGACTGAAAAACTACACTCTGATGCTGCGAGATGTCTTCCCCTGGGGCAGCAGGGTCAAGCAACAATCTTAGGCTGCTCAGGAACAGTAAAAGCCCTCAGATAAGGGCACATGTAGCTTGTGTCATGGCAGCTTCCTTGCAGTCAATGGACTGGTGCAGAAGGTGCTGTAAGGTTCTGGGTAATGTGCATGTTTCAGTAACATGACAATAAGCCTTAGGGAGTCCATGACATTGGACTAAGTAAGGATTGTAGCTGAGATATGTGTTTTACCAAATTTTAGTGCCAAAGATTGATGTGTAAAGATTTTAATATGTTCTTTAAAGGGAAGGCAGGTTTCACTATATTAATACGAATCTCTGAGTTGTGCTCTTTTTTTTTAAGAGCACATGATAGAAATTAATGTGGTTTCCATCTTTTCTTTTACAGAACGCTTCACTTTCACCATGTACACAGTGATCTGATCTCAGCTTGTTTGCTCTGATGATGATGTAAGTTTTGCCAATGACTTTGTCAAAGAGAAGCACTTTGCCCAGTAATTGCTTCTAATATGCAGGTGTAGCTATCTATAATACTACATATTGTATCTCAAAAATAGAAGGAACAAGAAATGTGAAGCCATAATACTGAAGAACTGTGGGCTTCAGTTCTACTTTGCACTACACACCTTTTTCACTGGTTAGCTCTGGGAATGTAAAGCACTCTTGAAACGGTACAGTTATGAACTGGGGTCACTTTGAGGTTGCTTTACTGTGATGCTATGTAAATAAGCCTTTAAATACCAGTGCACTAGCACCAAGTAATAACCACTGCCCCATCCCTTCCTTAGTGTATCACAGTATCACAGTATGCTAGAGATTGGAAGGGACCTCAAAAGATCATCTAGTCCAATCCCCCTGCCGGAGCAGGAACACCTAGATAATGTTACACAGGAATGTGTCCAGGCGGGCTTTGAATGTCTCCAGGGAAGGAGACTCCACAACCTCCCTGGGCAGCCTGTTCCAGTGTTCCGTCACCCTCACTGAGAAGAAGTTCCTTCTCAAGTTTAAGTGGAACCTCTTGTGTTCCAGTTTGCACCCATTACCCCTTGTCCTATCATTGTTTGCCACTGAGTAGAGCCTGGCTCCATGCTCGTGACACTCCCCCTTTATATATTTATAGACACTTATAAGGTCACCCCTCAGTCTCCTCTTCTCTAAACTATAAAGACCCAGCTCCCTCAGTCTTTCCTCATAAGGGAGATGCTCCACTCCCTTAATCATCTTCGTTGCCCTGCGCTGGACTCTCTCCAGCAGCTCCCTGTCCTTCTTGAACTGAGGGGCCCAGAACTGGACACAATATTCCAGATGGGGTCTCACCAGGGCAAAGTAGAGGGGAAGGAGGACCTCTCTCGACCTACTAACCACCACCCTTCTAATACACCCCAGGATGCCATTGGCCTTCTTAGCCACAAGGGCACAGTGTTGGCTCATGGTCATCCTGTCGTCCACTAGGACCCCCAGGTCCCTCTCCCCTACACTGCTCTCTAACACTGGTCTCCACACAGCCTTCTCTTCTCCAGGCTGAGCTGCCCCAACATCACCTCTGCAGAGTTTCTAATCCGAAACCACTAATCTGTTAGAAAGGACAGGATCCCAAGGCCACCTCGCTGGCATGCCGGTACGCTTGCCACAACTCCGATTTAGCTCTGCTTCACATCTTCCCTTCCTTGGCACGCCAAGGGGAGAAATCTGGCAAGGTGGTTACCCCAGGGAAATGGGTATTGTTTTCCCTTGGAAGCTTAGTGAAGGAAGCAATATGCTCACTACTGAATTATTTGGACACCTTTTTTTCACTCGGGTAACATCTATTTGTTGTGAGAAAGTCAACGAAAGAGCCAATGGCATGAAATTAAGTATGCACACATACATCTTCTTATACCCTTTTTAAAGTAAAATAGGGCTCTCTTCCTACTTCTCTGGACTGATATTCTGCAAATGTGTTAAAGCTTTGAGTAAGCGTTGCTTCTCAAGGAAGCCCTGATCCTGCATATTTCTCATGAATGAATAACCACTTGATCCTCTTGGGTTCTTTGGAGCTCCCTCCAACTGAATAAAAAGGGCTGGACCACTCTTAGAAATGTAGAATCTCTTCCATATACAGCTGAGGGAAGTTGTTCAGAGATTTTGGTTAAAACTGTAGAATATATACTTTATATATACAATTTCTTCTAGGAAAAACTATTGTTAAAGTACAAAGCTTACCTGTTCACACCTCTGGACTCCTGTTTCTAATTTGTTTCTTGTCAACAGCACAAAATGTATTTGGCATCTTTGTTTAATGTTCACACATCTGAATGCTGCTGTGGGTCTTTCCAACAGGCACAGGAGTTATGCTCCAGTGAAATTAAAGGAATTTCATTTGCTTATCTTTTTGGCAGCTGGACAAGAAAGTTGATAAAGGAGAGCCTTTGCCAACTGTATGATAGATTAGTAACGATGCAGGGTAGTATAAGTGAGGTACATCTGCGAATCAACAAATAATTTGAATGAGGTATATTTGTCTGCATAAAAAAAATAACAACTATGTATTTCCTTTAAATTCACAGATTTATAAAGGATGATTTGGATGAAAAAGGCAATTTCATCTCTATGTTGCCACTGTCAATTTATAGTTGAAGGAATGCTTGTTAGCAGTGACTATTCATAAAAATATGGCAACTTTAAAGGATGCTTTGTGGTTTTTTGGTATTTTAGCTTATATTCCTCTAAAAGTAAGGATTATTTTATAATTTACAGATGCAACAGCATTTCTTTCGCCAAATCAGTATCATCAAATGTCATGTTTTGAAAAGACAGAAAAATAATGCAGTCATTGCTTCAAATTAAAGGTTTTCTTAACTTTAGCATTGCTATAAACTGTCATTAACTCCAATGGGATCTGAACATTATCTTTGTGTTGTTACTTTCCATTTCAGGATATCTGAAGTGAATTGCGATCAGTGTTCATGTTGAGAAGAAAGTTGGCTAGAAGTGAGGATGTAACCCAAGTGCAGTATTTTTCAACAAAGGTGGGTTTTTATTCCATGGAACTATGTAATATTTAATTTCATGTAAGAATCATTTTTCTACTTTTTAATCAAATAAGGTCTACTGTAAAATCATTTGTGGGTTTGAAAGACAAGATTGGTACTTTCTAAAGAATACATCTCAAGAACCATTTGGAAAAAAGAAGAAGCCATTCTATTCCTTTAAAAATAAAAGAACTACAAAAAACAGGCTTGATGGGTATTGACAAATTACTTCAGCTGATCTGAGCATGAATGTTGGTGTGGGCAGACAGCGCTGCGGTATAAAAATGTGTATATTTTCCACTTAAAATGAAATCTAGAGAATGTAGATACTCTCCAGACTGAAGTGCACAAGATGAAACTTAAAGCATATTTATGAAAAATGCAAATATTTTGCGCATGAATTATAATGTGGCTGTAACTCTATTGTTTATAGCTGAAATCTAAGATACGCAGTATGCCCAAAGTGAAAACAGTTGCAAGTGAATGGGAAATTTTTCTTCATTCCATAGAAGTATTAGATAGATGGTAGGAGTCAGCAAAGCAAGAACTTGAGTTTCCACGTCTAGAGGCATTAGTTAAGTTCCACCAATCCGTTGTACCATGAGCAAGGGCCATGCAAAACATCACTTTCTATAGCAAAATCCAAGATTTCTTTTATATAGCATCACCCAATGGGTAGTAAGCACAAAATGGATGCCCACTTTTATGCTGATTATTGGAGAGAATTTTGTGAGGATTTAAGCAATTGTGCTTGTTGAGATTACCTCAAGTTGGAATTGATGTAACAAAGAATTCAAGCCATTATTTGTTTATTCAGTTAATTCTGGATTAGTTGAAACATAAAGATAGCACTTTCTGGGAGACCTGCAAATAGCAACACACAAGTGAAGAGAGATTTTCTGGTTTTAGTTTAAGCAGTGGCCTTAGCTAGAAAAATTGAAAAGAATAGCTCTGCACATTTTAACACTACATTTTGATATCTTTTTAATGATGATTTGAGGGTAATCTAACATCTAAATTGGCTTCACACTTCTCTACAGGCAATCTGTGGCAAAAGAAGCAAACTGAGGAGATAGCATTATCTAAATGATATGAGGAAAAGCAGTGGGACATCCAAATGAGCCACATGTCAATAATCAGAGCAGTAGTATTTATAATAGCAGGATGTTAACCCAGTTTCAAATTGTAACTCAGCCCATATTTTGTTTTTTTTTCCTAAAAGTAACAGAAAATTCTTACCAGTATTCATTTGGTTGTAGTACATTAGGAACTTTTAGACAGGGAAAGGCATCAAAATATTTGTGAGTCCTCAAAAGGGAAGTATTCATGACAGTATTAATTTTTTGTTTTGGGGTCTGTTTTTTGGGGAGGGGGTTGGGGGATTTTTGTTTTTTCTGTTTGTTTTCTTTTTTTTTTTTTTTTTTAGAATCTTATTATGTAAACCTGAGAAATTGCTGGAAAAAAACATTTTCCCTTAAAAAGGGAAAAAATGTAACCACTTTCCCTTGCAGATGTGAGGTATCAGGTTAGCAGCCTTAATCATGGGAAGGGGATGGTTTTGCTGCAAGGGGTAACATAAATCAAATGCGTCTTCAAAATCAATTCCACTACAATTTTTTGCCACTAGTTTCAGAATCTAGGGAAAAATAACCCATAAATAAATGAAAATGTGGTTCTTTTGTACCTTAGGGATATAGAATGGATTAAATTAATTTAATTAGATTAATCTACTGCTGAAGTGGAAAACATTTCTTTGGTAGAGTAAATAGACAGGAAAGCTAAACTTCTGAAACTTTGTTAAAGCCCAAGTTAAACTACCTAAAATAAGTTTTCCTTTGATACCTTAAGGAAAATAAATTAAAGATTAAAACCCCAAACAAACAAAAACCAAACCAAACAACCAAACCCCCAAACAACACCCCCCCCCCCAAAACCAGTAAACCCTAGAATATTAGCCATGACCACAGAGATGATGAGATTTTCCTTATTTGCACAGAGCTGTTATCCTTTCCCATCTCCCTGTCTTCCGATTCAGTGGGTATTCAGTTTTACAATTTACTCTTCTCAACATCACAGTCACGTCAACTGTTGACTGTCCTTCTCTCTACTAGAGACATGCAAGATGGTGATGAATGTCAATATTTACCGTGACTTTAGGTTTTTCAGGCAGGAGAAGATGTTATTGAAAATCTGTTATGCCTATATTATGAAATTACTACTATTTCATGAAAGCAGAAGGGGAAAAATGAAAATATAGCAACAAATACATCATATTCAGTACATATGGAATCTTCCTCTCTGTAAAACCTACTTATTTCTTATTTCTGAAGTTAAAACATCATCCAGAATACGAGTCCCACATTGGTTGTAATTTTTGTGTGTAGCTGCAATTTAAAGTTTCGTGTTCTTTTAGTACTAATGAGAAACAAACGACAAAACAAGCTTTGTGCTCATACACACACAAAAAGACTTTATCTCTGAAAGCAGAATTAGGGTGATTTTAGTTCTCTTACGTACTTTAGGCTTTTGGTTTGTTTATATGCGTGATTTTGCTTTCTTGAAATCAGCTCTAAAAGAAACTTACTCTGTTCAGTCTTCATTGTTAAATCTGGCACAGGGTATGGAATCAATGCTGGGAAAGATTATTTCTTGTAGAAATAATGAGGAAACAAGAACACTGCTGCCTTTTTTTCCTCTCTCTCTCTCTTAAAGTGGATTTGAATATATCCAGTGGTTTGAAAATATCATATGCTGAAATTTCCATGAAAAATTCCATGAGGAATTGGAAGTTTATTCTTGGATTTATTTGAAAATGCCAGCTCAAGTTCACAAATTTGATCTAAGGATAGGAAACAATATCACATGTGGAGTAGTTTCACTCGGGACAGGAGAAACTGTCCACACCTAACTCAGTGCAGGCACCAGGAGATACAAAAGAGGGAAGACAGTGATTCAGGCTTATCATTTAGGAGTATTGATAATACTGCCTGCTTAAGAAGCAGGTTTGAAGCATTTCTATGAGAATCCTTTCACATGTAATGCTTCTCACTAGCTTAGTCCCTGTGACTGTTAGTCACAGTCCTACTCCTGTTGGTTTAGTCCATTATTTAATTGCCCTTTCTCCTTTTTTTACTTCTCTTTTTTTCTGAACAAATCTCTCTCAGCCTTCACTTTTTTAGCAAGGCATCATTTATGGTCAGAACAATTCTACTGCGTTTAATCATGCCTGTCAAGTCCCTAGCAGCGGTTTTTCAGGGCTTAGGGATACCTGAATCCACCTGAACATGTAGAAGCTGTTTCGATTTCAAGGAGTCTTAAAGTCCTAAAAAGCTTTTGCAGGTCTTCATCAAAGATACTACTGTGTAACTGAAGAATAGCTTTAATCACAGAATAATAAGCATTGCCACTGTGGGGATGTGCATCTCAGTAAAAGCTCATCTGTTCTTCTGCCCAAAGTGTCTTGACATTGGCACAAGTTTTTGTACTGAGAAATCACAGTTATTGACCAGCTCTGTGTGACTTAAACTTGCTGCCTTGTGAGCCCTCCATCAGCACTTTTAGATCATTGCTCTTCTAAACTACATGACTTCTATGTGGTAGTGTTGGCCTGTGGTACTGGTAATACTTAAATAACACTCTGATAACCTTTTCAAATGGGTTCATTTTGTTTCACAGAGGAAATAGCATTGCTGAAGAAGCACTGTTTACATCTCACATGGCTGATGCTTTTCTGACTGAGCAACAAGGATGATCAAAATTCACAGCTTATCATACTTCCCTCTTAAATTCCAAGTTATTTCTTGTAGTTTTCAATTTAAATTCTTGAAGTAAATTGGTGCCTTGAAACTCATCTGCATATCCCCAGAGTGTCGAACACCCAGAGATAGATGTTGAAGTTACTGGTGTTCACTGTGGGTTTGTGAGGAGGAAGCAAGCCTTGCAACTGTCCAAAGCAGATGAGGGAATCTTGTAAAGGTACTTTAAAGAAATGATCACATGTAAAAAGTATTTGACTTCTCTGCCTCAGAGCAAGCTGGCACTTTGATCTTCACAGTCTTCCTTGTTAGTACCATTTGGATTAAGGATATTTTGGGACGAGGAAGATCCTTAATGTGTCTCTTCCCTCTCAGCATGGTAGGAAAAAGCCAGAGCTAATAACCAATTTGGTGGCTTTATAGCAGACTCTAGCTGTAACATGCAAAATATGTGACATAAATATGTATCTCCTAAGCACATGTGTTTTCTCATTTCCCTTTTGGCAATTGCTAATGTAATTATGAGCCACGACATATGGAGTATAATCTTCTTGGGGTGAATGCAAATGGGCATTTGAGGGACTAAATGCCCTAACTGGGTATGGAGTGCCCTGCCTTTATTTTGGCTTCAATGCCTGATCTAACCCAAGGTGCAGAAGGGCAAATGAGGGTCATCCTGTTCCTCATTGCTGCACAATACTGGTGAGGATTTTTGGAAGTAGAGCTCTAAGATCGTGTTTGTCTTCACTGTGTTGACAACAAGGGTCGTGGCTTTACTGTGAATCGACCTTGTTACACAGGTACCTTGTTCATCTATGTAAAGCAGGCAGGAAAGCAGCGTTGCTTCGGAAAGTGTTCTGTGCAGAAGAATAAACACAGCTGTAAACAGAGAAAAATGCAACCAATGTGTTTATGAAAATACAGAAACTGTCCTGATTAGTACTTAGAAAGTTAAAAATTACTTAGGCTCCATCTACTCTGTCTAATCAAAAATATATTTACCAATTTCTCTGCAAAGCAGTATGCATTATCTAAATATTACAATCAGAATGTGCTGTCATTCTTGCCAATTTGCTGGGTTCTGTCATGCTGCTGATGACCAGTGACAAACTGCAGCTCCTTTAAAGACTCTTGGTACATTGAGCTTTTGCCTTCTTGGAAGAGCTAGGAGAATAAATCATGTGAATCTTCTTTTAAACCTGGTCATTACCTCCCACAAACAATGTCTGTATTCTAATGTGATATAAATGTGATTCCTTGAGTTGCTGCCCATGGCAATTGGCTCAGATGCACCCATGACTTTAACTTCAGCAGTAAAACCTGACTTCATTAAACGTGAAGGAACATCGCCCTGGATATCATTACATTTACAGCCAGTTCCTAGGTAAAGGGTGCCCACCTTTATGGCCACATTTCAGAACACTATAATCCCTTATTTTCCTCAGGGAAAATATAGTGCAAAGAATTAGGAGACCTGCTTCTGTGCTCCTCAGAGCCCCCAAAAGATGTGCTGTTTTGGGATAGCTCTCAGCCAGTACCCCAGGTTCCTACGTAAGTATGTGGGTCAGCCTTGATTACCTGGTTGCTGACAGTCACATCCTTTAAAGCTGTGGCAGCATTCACAAAGCTTCTGTTTTTCCTGGTACTAGAAAGAATCTGGGAGTCCTGATAGCTCAGTGCATCTCAGTTTCCCAAGAAAATTCTCTTGTCATCCTGCTACATCAGATAGCACCAGCATGGTCCTACATCTGAGACCCGTTGAAGATAAGTTGTGCAGCTTTGCAAGCTGACTCCGTTGACCTCCATATTAGTTCATCTTTCTCCATGTAACCACTGTTTCACTTCAGAAGTGGACATTGAAGTAATAGTGACTTGCTTTGAATTGGAGGTGCCTAGCTTATGGCAGCTAACTCCTACACCTGCAATCAAATGAAAGGGAAGTAAACAGCCAAACAGCATGTCAGAAGCAAATATAGCAAACTGCTTTAGTGTATAGGTATTGGTACAATGCAGTGCTGTTATTCTACTTAGAAAGTGATTAGAATGAGTGCAGAGCAGTGCAGTTTGTAGTTTGTCATCTGTGTCGTTTGTGAAATGCTACGGTCACCAAGAAACACGAGAGGGACTTTGCAGGAGCATGAAGGAGAGGCAGAAGAAACAGAGGACCTGATAACTGGAAACTGGAGATCCTGGCAACTGCAGATAAGTAGACGCTTATTGCTTAATCTATGAAGAAGTATCATGAGACAGGTAGCAGGGTTGGCATGCTACACAATTTATTTAATATGCCATTTTTTGGTTTGCTTCTAATTCCTCTTTGCATCTTAAACTACATATTCACAGAGGCACAGACCTGCCCCTTGGTATGGGAATGTGCTGACTTCTGTGCACTTGTGATAACAAAGCTTACGGACTTCCTCACAGCTTGTGGGTTCCTTCATATCTGCAACTAAAACTGAAGTCATAGCCTTTTTTGGATGCAGAGGTGCTTACTGAGCCACTACTTTCGGGTCAAAATCATGGTCCTTGTTAAATCGATCTAAAGGAAGAAATTCCACTGATTTCTAT